GGGGGGGGACTTCTGCTGACTCATTCCTCCTTCAGAAACAGTATTTTCTGGGCCTATGAGCTGAATTTCCACTTTTAGTGCTATAATATCCACTCACAGATTGTGTAAAGGGCTGAGGCAATAGAAGAGGAAGAGATCAAAAATACTATGAAACACAAAATGCTTTTTTTTTTGTTTTTTTTTTGTGGAACCGGGGATTGAAGCAGGCCCTTGTGCTTGCCAGGGAAGCACTTATTCTACTGAGCCATCTCCCTGGCCCCAAAATGCTTTTAATTTTGAGATCTGCAGAAGAGTTATTATCTGTGCCCTTTCACTTTATTTCCAGTACATATTATAGTAAAATGTTATTTCCCTACACAGGCTCAGTATATTCATCTACGGGCTTTCAACAACAGGGCAAATAGCAACCCAGAATTTCAGACTACTCATTAGTAAGAAGTTAAAAAGTCTTCACTGAAATCCAGGCACTAGGTAAAGGAAGAAAAGCAAAGTTCAATTTCATTCATTTGTTGGCTTCTCTAGATCATGACATGAGAGATCAATAAAAAAATGGAAATTCAAGAAGGCACTATAATAAATAAACACATATATTCATATTTTTTTAAAAACCCAAAACTACAACTGTCATAGATTTTTTTGGTACCTGGGATTGAACTCAGGACCTTTTGCTTGCCAGGCAGACACAAAACTACTACAACTAATAAATTAATTTAACAAAATTTCAGGCTACATTTTCCTTCTTTCTCCTCCTTCACCTTCTTCATCTTTTTGAGACAGGGTCTCACTATGCAGTTCAGACTGACCTTGAGCTTCTATGTAGCCCAGGCTGGACTCAAACTCACAATGATCCTTCTGCCTCATCCTTCTCCCCAGTGCTGTGATTACAGGTATGTACCAGCACACCAGGCCAGGATACTGTTGAATAAAGCAGTATTCAAATAGTCAGCAAACGGAGACAGTCTGTCCACCAACTGACAAATTGATAAAAAAAAATTCAGTACATGTGCACAGTGCCATACTATGCAGTCATAAAAAAGAATGAAATCCTTGTGACAACATGGATGCATTTGGAAGACACCATGTTAATAAAATATGCCAGGCATGGAAAAACAAGTATTGCATGATCTCACATACACACAGTCTAAAAGGGGTGTGCTCATAGAAGCCAAGAGTAGAATGGTGATTAGCAGTGCCCAGGGAGGATAGGGTTGGAGAAGGCGTGAGGGTGGTTGATCAGTGGGTAGTAAGATACCCTTGGGAAGGAGGAGGAAGTCCTGCAGTGGTACTGTGCACAGTAGTGACTACAGATTGTATACTGTAGATTTCAAGAATTAGTAGACCGCATCTTGAAAGTTTTTACCATAAAAATGATAAAATATATTGAACCCAGCTTAAAAATTATGCAATGCACACAGGTATCACACATAGTTCTTCCTGATATGTACAACACTAAGCTTTTGTGGGACAGTTTAAAAAAAAAATAAATACTGAAACGAAAGTAAAAGGAGAAAGAGAAAGTGTATGAGAAGCAGATCAGCCTTTCTCTTTATTCAAAATCTCTAGATCCCAAAGAAGGTGAACTTCGATCAGGGACAGGGAGCAAGGAGCATGGAGAGGAACCCACCACGGCTCTGCACTGGGACTTATGAAGGGGAGGAAGCAATCTGAAACTCTGAAATAAGATGATGTTACTAAACAGAAAGGACAGAAAAATTGCTGACTCGAGCCAATAAGTTACAGCACTATCACAAAAAGTTCATATTTATACTGCAGCCCTGAGACTCGTCACTGCTCCCTCAGACTCATTCCTGATAGGATATGGGGTGGGGTGGGGATATGCGCCACCCAGGAAGCACTCTGGAAGCTAAGTTGAACAAGAAATGGGGATTTGCTGGAAGGGCACCTGGGTACCCCCCAGAACCCAAGGAAAAGAGCTGAACTGGGTTTCACCCGGCCTAGAACATCCTTGGGGATTTATGGGTTTCTTGTTTCTTTTTCTTCTCCTGCCAGTCACAGTGCTGAGGTAGAGGAGAATGGCCCTCACGATGAGCAGGATAAAGCAGTTTATCTATTGCCATTTCATTCATTTTTCACGGACTTGGGACGATGCTGGCGGTTCGTCTTCATCCTCAACCGGCATGTCTGGTGTTTTTCGCTAGAAGAGTGGGCCACACCTTTGGGCCCCGAGAGAGCGTGGGAAGTCGGCTGGGAGGGGTGGAAGCCGGGGGCGGCGTCAGGGCCCTGGCACTGCACACCGCGTATGTGGTTGGGGAGCCGTCCTGGGGGCTAGGTCGCAGATCCTATAAACTGCAGACTCCCAGAGTCCGTGGCCAGATCCAGACGAGATGGGCGTATACACCGTGCGCGTGGCCACGGGGAGCTCGCTCCTGGCAGGCTCCGTAAACTGTGTGCATGTGTGGCTGGTGGGCGAGTACGGAGAGCAGTATCTCGGAAACCTGCGGCCGCACCAACCCGGCAGGGTCAGTGCAGACTGGGCCGCACCTAGCCGGGCGCTGGGCGCAGTCGGGAGGGGACCGGACAGGAATTCCGGCGGCAAGCAGCGGAGCGCGCCGCTGGAGTGGACGCGGCGGGACGCGGCTGGGAGCCGAGGAAGCTGGGGCCCCGCAGCACTCTCTACCCGCCCGCTGTCCCCATCTCCCGGTTGTGTTCCAGGGCTACGCCCAGCTTCGCCCGGGTTCCCGGAGTGCGCTGCTTGTCTCTGAAGCAAGCCCTGTCCCGCAGGAGACCGAGTGGAAAGTCAAAGTCCGTGTTCACCTGGGGCGCGCCCTGCTGGTGAAACTATGCAAACACACACTCCTGGTGGATTCTGACTGGTTCTGCAAGTGGATCACCGTTCAGGGCCCAGGGATCCAGGACAAGGCCCTCTTTCCCTGCTACCACTGGGTGCAGGGCGACGCGATTATCTGGCTGCCTGAGGGCACTGGTGGGGCGCTGGGGAAGGGGGTGCGGCTGGAGGCGGCAGCGGTGGAGGGGAGACGCTATGGTGCACAGTA